CCAGATGGTTCCTTTGATAGTAAAGAATCTCCTTATATCATGCTCTGGTCCACATGTCCACATCTAAACTTGGCCTCAAGCTCCGCTTTTCTGGAAATGTTTCCACATCATCCAACTCTCCCTGGGTCTTATCAGCACCTCTGCATGGTACTTGGTAGCTTGCATGAGTTTGTGGTCGGTGCCCTCCTCTCGTGTGTGTGCGCACGCGCGCGTACGTGCGCGTGTACAACACACACAACAGGAGGCTGATCCTACAGTTCCCCTTAGCCCTGGGCACGCTGTGAGGTAGAGAATGTCCCTCCACACTGTTTCTCCTTCCACAGCAGCCCATCCTAGGTTTCAGAGCAAGTTGGGTGGAGGTGCCTTCAGGAGAACCTGGGGAAATTGTCTCCTCCTGGACTGGGCTGTAGCAGAAGATGAGGAGCACCAAAGTATGCTTGGCCTAGATGGGACTCCCGTTGACTCCAAATTTGATGGCGAAACCCCAGAGGTAGATGACGCCAACACCTGCCCCTCAGCCCCATGGAAGCAACTGGCCTTGAAAGGACACTGTGTGACTTTGGGGGATAGTGGCTTCTTTTGCCTTTTCCTGACAGTTCTGACCACACAGGCCTTTAGGACAACAATAACCACAGAGACAAAGCATGACTGAGACAATGTCGTCTTTGGGCCTTTTTTCCCCCTTAATGACGTCCAAGGCTCTGGGAACATTGTAAAAACTGGGTCCTGTCCAATTTTAACCACTCCCCCCACCAGCTCCTAGGAGCCCTGCCAGCTCCCTGGGATGGGGGTGGGAGTGATGCCCAGAGATGCACATAAAGATGTCACGCTGCCCTGGTTAGGCCCCAGAGGCCAGTCAGGGCTGCAGGGACAGGGAAGAGGAACAGAACGTGTCGCTTGGCCCGCGGACTCCCCCAGCCAGGGAGGTAGGTGGGCGGAGAGAGGGAAGGGTGTCTGCCAAGCTTAATTAACAGTGGAAACTCGCCACGGGGGAGGAGAGAGACGATTTGAAGAGGAGGGGCAGTTTACTGGAAGATGGGGCGCTGCCGATGCCAACAGTAAGAAAGGGGAGCATTCCAGCAGCAGCATCCGGAGTGCAGGCTGCCAGTGTCGTAAGCCGGGATGGGTTGAGCATAGAGATTTCTGGAGGTGAGAGTGGGGGAATTTATTTATGCCTGCTTTCCTGAGTAGACATCTTCCAGAAACAATCTACCAACCTGCCAGTGGTTAGCCTTCCTTGCCCCCATAAAGAAAAATTACTATTTAAAAAATGGCAGTTGAGTTTAGAAAATAGACATTGTGTTGGGTTCTTTTTCTTTGAAGATATCAATGCATTGCCCCAATTGCATTTGACTTTATTTCACAGATAATGAAGCAATGTGTAAAGTGTGTGATACAGAAAGAGAGATGGGTTAAACAAACGTGTGATGCAGGCCAGATGTGGTGGCTCATGCCTGTAACTCCTAGCACTTTGGGAGGCTGAGGCCTGGTGGATCCTGAGATCAGGAGTTGGAGACCAGCCTGGCCAACGTAACAAAACCCCATCTCTACTAAAAATAGAAGAAATTAGGCAGGCGTGGTGGTGGGCGCCTGTAATCCCAGCTACTCAGGAGGCTGGGGCAGGAGAATTGCTTGAACCCAGGAGGTGGAGGTTGCAGTGAGCCGAGATCACGCCATTGTACTCCAACCCAGGCGACAATGCAAGACTCCGTCTCAAAAAAAAAAAAAAAAAAAAAGGGTGTGATGCTTATTGTTTTGTTGATACAAAAATGCAGAGATATCGATTGTACAGCAAAACTAATAGTGTGGGTTGGACTTCAAATATGGGAGGTGGAGCTTGGGTTATTCATTTTTTAGCAGGATCGTAGAAATTCAAGACTGAACTGGGTTTTCTGGTTTCATCTCCCTTCAGATGTGCAGACTTCCCCATGACATCCATGCCACTTGAGTGCTGGGCCTCCCTCACCCCCTCACCCCCAGGCTTTTCATACCTGGCAGTGCTGACTATGGCCATCCAGACCTCTGTGGAGGTGCAGCTTTCTCCAGCATCCACCTGCTGCTCCTGATTTGGCTGCAGGAGGCCATCAAGAACAAATTTAATCCCTTCTGACAGTCGTATTAAGGGACAAGACATCTACCCACTCCCCAGTCATCCTCTTCAGCCCATGCTCAACGCCTTCAGATTCTTCAGAGAGTCTCTGAAAATGTGATAATGAGGCTACTGGTCATTGCCAGTCACGCCTGTCTTAGTGCTTGCCATTACCAAAGTTGCTTTTTGCTTGCTTGTCTCTTTTTTCTCTCCCACTTCATCTCTTTTTCTGATGGACACACCTGCTAGCTCACCTGCCTGCAGTCGGTGTCTCTGCCCTCCTGCATGGTCCTCATCTCCCCAGCAGAGTCTCCCTGCTTTCCTCTCAAGGTCTCTCCTGTCCCCAGGGGCCTCCCACCTACCATGCCTCTCCCTCCCCCTGCTCCCGTTTACCCCCATTTCTTCATTTCTCCTCTTTTCTGTTCAAAGATGCGTGTAGGGTGGCTAGTCAAGAATTGCAGTGGAAGAGTGTTTTTTTTGTTTTTTGTTTTTGTTTTTTTTTTTTTTTTTGAGATGGGATCTCACTTCGTTGCCCAGGCTGAAGTGAGTGGCATGATCATGGCCCACTGCAGCCTTGACCTCCCAGGGCTCAGGTGATCATCCCACCTCAGACTCCCAGGTAGCTGGAACTAGAGGTGAGTGCCACCACACCCAGCTAATTTTTTGTATTTTTTGTAGAGATGGAGTTTCACCATGTTGCCCAGGCTGGTCTCAAACTCCTGAGCTGAAGCAATCTGCCCATCTCAGCCTCTCAAAGCACTGGGATTATAGGCGTGAGCCACTGTGCCCAACTGGGAGCTCCTTAAATTTGGTCCCCACATTTCTGGCTGTGGAGCCCAGGATCTCATTAGTTCTTGGCAGCTTTCTGACGCTAGAGCCCTAAGGCTTGTTCAAAGCCCTTATTGCAAAAATTCCGTCTCCAACTCACCCACTTGGCCTGGTACATACTGCTCTTCATTGTATAGTTATTTTGGCTCCAAGAACAAAACACTGGATTCGTCCTTGTTTTATTTGACCTGCCATCTCTGTGTGTTATACTTTGTCCACTCCCAATTTAGTCTCTGAGTCAGTTTGCCCTCCCTTTTAATTTATGTCATCCATAGTCTTGAGCAAAGCATACCTTCTGTTTCTGTTAATCATGGAAATATAATTGCTGAAATGGGGTGGGAGAGGGACCTTATAAGCCATTTGGTTGAACTCCTTCATTTTGCAGACCAGGAAACAGAGTTCCAGAAAACAAGCTACTTGCTCAGCACGACCCAGCTATGGGCACCTACATAGAGCTAGGTTCAGAAACTGGGCTTCCTGGTGCTGGGAGGGTAACATCTGGTTTTGAAAATATTTGAATTCAAACCAAACCACAGTGGTTGTGTGTCCACAACCAGGAATTAACATTAAGTGTGGACCAAAAAAAAAGTGCTACCCTCTGACTTTGCTGATGGTATAATTGCTTATCATTTTAGGAGTAACTTTTAATAAGGGGGCAGATGCTAACTAAATTGTTAAGAACTGAGCTTGAATACAGTTAGAACCTAAGAGCAGAGCAGTCAGAGAAAGAACAGATAGTTCAGTTGTTTAATTTCTGCTCTGTTACCCCCTGCATGGAAGCCAGAATCATATTAATAGAGATCTGTAGGAAACCCTCACACCCCATGTTTACCTGGGGCATGTCACTGCCTTGCTAAACGTTTCCCCAGATGCCCCAACAAGAAGCCAGCTGACTGACTCCAAGTTCCCCTCTGCCCGCCTGCCCAGAGCAGGAGGGGCGTATAAAGTGAGGTGGGAGGCCTGGCAGAAACACCGAAGTCCAGATCTGCTGAGCGTGCCTCCTCTGCTTGGCCCCTGGATGTGTATTTCTAGTGCCTGGTGCATGTGGCTCTCATGGCCTGGCATTGACTGATGATCAACTGGTCTGACAGTGGCTTGGGGTGAAGACGAGTGACCCCTTGGGATTAGTAACACGGTCTCCCCTCTTTCCCCAGGTTCTACCTACAGCGTCCTGTCCACCATGCCTTCAGACTCAGAAAGCAGCAGCTCCCTCAGCAGTGTGGGTGAGTACTGCCTTCTAGGGAGGACACCGGGTAGGCCAGGGGTCTGGGTGGAAGCCAAGACAGCTGGGGTTCATGGGAGAGGAAGCTAGTTCTCCCTTGTCAGATTACTCACAGGATCATCTTCTGTTGATTTCATTTACATTTTCTCCATCAGCAAAAACCCATTTCTGATGTTAGAAGGGAGGTGGGGAGGTGAGTGCTGGGAGGCACATGTTTTGCCATTGTTCACTTTGTCTGGGCACAGAGCTTCTAGGGGAGCCTGTTGTCCCACTATCCCCACCTCCACTCTACAGGCCTCGTAGTAACTCAGTGGCCACTGCCCAGGAGACTCACCCCTTTTGGAGTTTCCTTGGGGATAGGCATTGCCAGTCCACGCTGAATTGGATATGTTTCTCTGAACATGGGTTTCAGAAAGGCCATAAAATGAGGCCAGCCCTTTTCTGAGTTCACTGAAGTCCAGCAGGAAGGCCACAGTAGTCTCAGCCTTCCCACACCTCTGTGACCCATTCCCTCTGTTTTAGCACCTCTGGTGGGGTTTCTCATTGCCTGATCTGACCATGATGGATGCAGAGACCTTCAGTGGGAAGTTCCAGCATCTTTGGAGCCTGAAGGACTCACAGAAGTCATCTACTCCGACTATTTTCTTTTCCCCCTGCAGAGAGATGGGGAAACTGACATTCTGGGAGAGGAAGTCACATGCCTGAGATTCTAGGACTAGTCAGGACGGCTCTTCCGTATGTCAGTTCAAATCCTGAACACCTCCAGTATGCCAGAGGTGGGCTTGGGCTGTAGTGGCGAATTAGGCAGATGTGGGCCCCACACTCCTGGATGTTAGGGTCTTTTGGTGGGAAACAGTTAAATAAGTAGCCACAGTAAGGGAAGGCAGTGTGAAGAGAGGGAAGACAGTGACTAGCGGGGGAGTTCCATCTTAGTTTTCTGGGACTGCTATAATAAAGTGCCATAGACCAGGTGGCTTACACAGCAGAAATTGATTGTCTCACAGTTTTGGAGGACAGAAGCCCAAGATCAAAGTGTTAGTGAGGCCACGCGGGCTGAAGGTGCTAGGGAGGGATCTGTCCTGGGCCTCTCTCCTCACTTCTGGTGGCCTGCTGGTAATCCTTGGTGCTCCTTGGTTTGCCAGTATCACACTGATCTCTGCCTTTGTGTTCACATGATACTCTCCCTCCGTGTGTGTCTGTCTCCAAATTTCCCCTTTTAATAAGGATACTGGTCAGATTGGCCTAGGAGCCTGCCTTACCTCATCTTAAATTGATAATCTGTAAAGACTGTTTCACCATCAGCAATAACTGCCGTGGGCTGAGCAGCGCGCCTCTCAGGACTCCCCTTTTAGAATGCAGATGCGCCTCGGAAACGTAATGCTTTGACCTTTCCAAATAAGGTTCATGTTCACATTTACTGGATTGGGACTTTAGCATCTTTTGGGGGGCCACAATTCCACCCATAAAAACACAGTTCCCCCCATAACCCTCATCCTGTTTAGGACTCAGGGCGGGCCCTTCTGGGACTGCAGTTCAAAGCTCCTAACGGTATCCTGTTACTTTGTTCTGCCTGCTTTTGGTGCCCGGAGACACATCAATGGAATGATGGGATTGTTGGAATTTGGAAGATAGGACTCACCCTTCAGGAAGTGCATGGAGTGGGACAGTCAGGATCAGTAGATGGGGAAGGCGAGACTTTTTAAGGTGGACTGGGTAAGCCCTGAGCATACTCCTCTGACCTGTCTGGTTTTTCACCCTTCGCCAGTATCTGTCTGACAGATCGCAATCAGCAAACTCATTCCCATCGGCATTTCAGGGGTTAAATCGTTACCTTTACTAGGCACATGTGCATTCTAAAAGGGAATTCTAGAGAGGGGTATTGCCTAACCCATAGCAATTACTGCTGATGGCGGAATTCCCAGCCTGAGTAGGAAGATATTTCTTGGGCAGCTGGACCCCAGCGTACTCTGAAAGAAGCGTCATGGCCGTGACCCACCAGTTGGTTCTGCACTCACCTGAAGCTGGCTCAGTCCTTGCGATGGAGCCGTCAACAGTATCCCCATGCTCTTCCTGGGCAACACAGGCAGGCAGAGGGCAGGGCTCTGATGTGTTTCTTGGAGCAGGCTGGGTCTGTACTGTCTGTGTCTGGATATTTAATGCTGAAATAAGTGGTTGCATCCCTTCTGGGCAGAGCCTCTTGAGTTCACAGGGAACTGAGTTTTGCTTCTCTTGCTTTTCTGCTTGAGGTTACCATTGTCCTTTGGGTGCAGGCATCAGGGAACACCCACTCATACCACCTTAACCAATCAGGAAATGTATGAGCTCCCATATGAGGCTGTGCTGAGGTCAGCCAGTATAGGGGGATGCAACTCTGTCCTCCTCTGTGCGTTGTCTTCCCACAGTCTCATGGCGGGGTGTCTGTAGCAGCAACTCCAGCCATCACATCCAGACCTGACAGTGTCCAGGTCTGCAGTGTCCAGTATGGGCACCACTAACCACAAGTGGCTGCTTAAATTTAAATGAATTAAAATGAAATTTAAATGTCTAGTTTCTCAGGCAAATCCACCACATTCCAAGTGCTCTGTAGCCATCTGCGGTGAGTGGCAGAAGAAGGTGGGGTTTTTATGAGCAAAGGAACCTGTTGCAGAGTCCCTCAGTATGGCCTCCTCTCAGTGACCACAGTTGGCTGCTTGTTCATGCCGAAACCAGTGGCTCACAAAGCCTGGTCCCTGGACCACGGGGACACTCATTAGAGATGCAGGTTTGAGCTTCCTCCCATCCCTGCTGCATCAGAAACTCTGAGGGTTTCTACAGCTTACTAGCCCTCCAGTTTGAGATGGACTGGCCCAACCTCATCTCTGGGAAGAGAACCAGAATGTCTGTACCAGACTTGCACCAGTCCCTCGGAGTGGAATGCCTGGTGGGGCTGGCCCTGGGAGCACTCCAGCACCTGCCAGGGAGTTCCTGCTGGCTCAGCCACACCTGATGAGACGCAGAAGTCTACAAGCACACATTGCCCTGGCAGGAGGGGCCACTGGTAAGGTCACATGGTGATCTTAGGAACCTGAGGAAAGGCAAGAGCAAAATACTTCTTAAAAAAAATCACCTCCACTTTCCCATTTACATCTCCCTAAATGGAAATGGCTGGGAAAAGAATGGCAGGTTGTATTCGGCATGAGAGGAAATCGGAGGCTGAAACCTTGGGCGTGTAGACAGCATTCTCTCAGGCGGTCTGTCCGGTCTCAGATCTCCAGCCTGGCCCTACTCACAACTCACCTTTGCCAACAGCCTTAAGGGCGGCAGGTCTTTGTGCCAAGGCCTCCTCGGGCAGTTTTCATGGGTTTTCATCAGCTAAGCACACACAGCTTCCCTGAGGCCCTCCTCCCCCGCCTCCTGCGCCTGTTGTTGTGACCTGCCCCCGACCCTACCCTGTGGATCTGCCCAGGACAGCGCACTAGTTTCAGGCAATCAATACTTTTTTCCTCCCCATTCATCCTGACCTAATTTCTCAGTAGCCTTTTATTTCTCATCTTGGAAAACTGGGGAGGTTTTAAGGAGGAGAAGAAACATTCTTGGGCATCTCTTGTAAAGCGAGCCTTAAATTCCATGAAGATTGAAATAGCAGGAGATTTCTTATTAAATGGAGAGGTCTCCAGGCTTATTGGCAGGAGAAAGAGCTGGAGGGCTTCCCTCGTATCCCAGGGAAGATTCCTTGAAAGTGCTTCTTCTGGTTGACAGGGGAAGGTGGGGAGAGCCATCAGGGAAGTGGGGGCTGCCCACTGACGCCCTGTGACCTCTGATCCTTCATTCCTGGCCCAGACTTTTGGATCAGGGATAACTGTTTGCAAAGCCAATTTATCAGAGATGGGAATGCCTCTTCCTCGTGGGGCAGGTGTTTGGTACTCATAGGGATCGCAGTGAGCATGGCCCCTAATGTTATCACATTGCCGGGGAGACAAGTACTGTCTGGCACGACTGGCTATTCTGCTCTGTGTAGAGCAGAAAGAAAGAAGTAACTCGGGAAGAAGCAGTTAGTTCTGATGAGGTGAATCAGAGAAAGTTCCTGGAGGAAGTGGCCCTTGAATTGGGCCTTCTAGGAAAGGTGCTCTGGACTCAGACGCAGCTGGGAAGTAATTGGCCATGGCTGCTTATGGTGGTTTGGGTTCTGAAAAGCAGAGCCTGAGTCAAGGGTTCGAAAGCAAGTCTTTGATCTGGCTAGAGATCTGGGGCCTGGACTTGAAGCATTGGAATCTAACCTCCTTTCACTCCAAGCTGGGGAAACACTGATCTGGAGTCACATACTCATTGACTAAGGAGGGGTGTCCCCCTTTGGCCTTCATTGTTGATGACATCAACGGGGGATTCCTTTAAAGGCAGTGGCTGCTGGATAGCCAGTAAAACAAGGGAGAAATAAGTCCATTCTGGCCAGCAAACGCAACTTTGGTCGGGAACAGAGGTTCTCAAACTGTACCAGGCGTCAGAATCACCCGGAGGGCTTTTACAACATGGAGTGCTGCAGGGACTTACTGCCAGGGTTTCTGATTCAGTGGGTCCAGGTGGGACCTGAAATTTTGCCTAGCAGGTTCTCTAGTGAAACTTAGGTGCTTTAAGAAGCACTCGTTCACCCCAGGCAAGGCCTGGGTCTTTCCTGGACGGCTGTGGGTGTCCTGAGTTGTAGGTGAGGATGACTTGGTGCTCTGATGACTGTGCTCTGCCACTGCTTTGCCTCTCCCTGGTAGCCAGGGCCTGGAAGTGGCTAGGAAGTTTACCTGGACATCTCTCTGGCTCCTGGAAGCACAGGCCTACAGGGCCTAGAAGCAAAGATGAGACCTGCCCAGCTGTAAGACCAAGGAGAAGCCTCCAGGGTCAGTGGGAGCATGACAGTGAGGGAGCCCAGGACAAAGGGTGGTGGCTGAGAAATCCACCTAGCCGCCAGTCCATTTGCTGAGCCTTGGTGGTAGTGACAGTAGCAGCCAGGGCAACTGACACAAGGAGCTGAGGATTCATGTGATGGGGACACTCCCTTCTGTCCTCCTTCTTACACCCAGGTCAGAAGGAGGCTGGCTGCCCCGAGGTCTTCATGGCTAGAGACTGTGATGGGTTGTGTTGGCATGGCTCTGAGCCCCTTCCTTCTGTCCTGTTTCCTTCTCTCCTTTCTCCAGCTTCCTCCTAAGCCAGGGCTGCGTCTTGCTGTTGCCTCCTTTATAAAATGGGGGTGGCTGCTCTTTGTCCACCATCCAGAGCCAGCTCCTGGTCTGGTGTCTTCCTATTTTGGGCCATTTTAGTCCAAACCAAATCCTTTACCTCTGAAATCTGATCCTGAACACAAAAGGAAAAAGAAAATCTGCTTCCTCCTCCAGGGGTTGCCAGACTTGGGTAAGGAAAGCCTGAGGTCATGGGAGAGTTGACAGCTTTGCTTTTGAGTCCAGAAGAACAACTGCACAAGGTTAGAACTGCATTGGAAGCTTTTGTTGACAGCTGCTTTGGAGGCTTTTGTTGACAACCCAGCTTGACGTTTGTTTTTGTTTTGCCTGTTTTTAAAAAGTTTACTGTAAATAACCACAGTGACAGCAGAGGAGGTTGGTCCTCATCTCTTTACCTATCAACATCACTCGTAGGATGATAGCTTCATTCAGGGCATCACAGTTTGGTTTTCTTAAAAAAAAAATGTTGTGAGGCTAGGTGTGGTTGCTCACACCTATAATCCCAGCACTTCAGGAGGCCAAGGTAGGAGGATGGCTTGAGCCCAGGAGTTTGGGACCAGCCTGGGCAACATAGTGGGGCCCTGTTGCTACAAAAAGTAAAAAAATAATAATAATTAGCCAGGCATGGTAGCACACCCCTGTAGTCCCAGCTGCTTGGGAGGCTGAGGTGGGAGGATTGCTTGAGCCCAGGAGGTCGAGGTTGCAGTGAGTCATGATTGTGCCACTGCACTCCAACCTGGGTGACAGAGCAAGACCCTGTCTCAAAAAAAATTTTCTTTTGTTAAGGTTATGTTTATTGAGATATAATTTACATATACTAAAGTGTATTTTTTTTAAGTATACAGTTCAAGTTTTGACAAATAGTCATGCAACCATTGCTACTTTTAAGATGCAGAACACTTCCTTCTGTATCTTAAAAATTCCCTCTGCACCTTTGCAGTCTGCCCTTTTCCCCACCCTCAGTCCCTGGCAGCCACTCATCTCTTTTCTGTTCCTATAGTGTTGCCCTTCCCAGAATGTCATTATCAGTGGTCGTGTAGTCTGTACCTTTTAGAGTTGGGCTTCTTTTGCTTAACGCAGGGCACTCCAGCTTCCCCCACACCCTGTGTGCATCCACAGTTGTATCATTCATCCCTTTTCATTGCTGAGTAATACTCCATCATAAGGACATAACACCGTTGTTTATTCATTCCCTAGCTGCTCTGAACAGCTGTGTGCTGGTTTTTGTATGCACATAAATTCTCATTTCTCCTGGGTAAAATACCTAAGCATGGGATTGCTGGGTGGTATGGCAATTGCATGTTTAGCTTTATAAGAAACTGTCAAACTGTTTTCTGAAGTGGCTGCATGACTTTGTATTCCCATCAGCAGTGTTTGAGAATTCCAGTTTTGAGAATCCAGCTGTATCCTTGCCAGCATTTGGTGGCATTGCTTTTTATTTTAGCCATTCTGATGGGCATATGGTGGTAAAGGAACTTCATGGTTGTCTTCAAATGCTTACAGATCTATTGCATACAAGAAATCCAGTTGTTCCTTGTGGGCTTTAGGGGTTAGATCAAGGGTCAGTGGAAGGAATATCCAGAGACAGATTAACTCAGTAGAGGGCATTGTTTTAGGGGGAGAGATAAGATGGGTGCTGCTGGGGAGTAGTGAGCTTCTTCACTGTGGAGTTTGGTCTTAGTGGCCATTTTGAGGGATCCTGACAACCATTTGTATGGTAGGGCTGCGTCATTTTCAGAATATCTGTCAACCTCTAGATGCAAGTAAAAAGACAAAAACTTCAGTTGAATGGGGATCGAGAGGATTTTCTGCAACCCTTGCTGTTCTTTTGGAACTTCTCGGTGTAGCACACACATCTTGAGATTGGTCATGAGGTCCCCTGTGGCCCTCCTTGGCCCTTCTCAGCCCCCAACTACAAAAGGCCAGAGGCATGGGCTGCACTTTCTGCTGGGTCAGAGAGCCTGCTGTGTGATGGATCTCGGGTCTGGTTGACCTTACTTCCTGTATATGTCCTGTATGCTCAAGCCTTTGGGCCAGGA